TTTAAAATGACTGATTTAATGTCAGATTAAAAATCAGACAACCAATGGAAAAAAACCAAGTCCTCACCCTGAAAATCATTCTCTTAACGTAATTAAGCCAGAAACTAACCTTTTAACAAGAATTTAAGATAATTAAATCACTGTAACGTTATTCCCAACATCGGTGGCAACAAGCGGCAACTCTTTATTGTATGTCATCTTTCAAAAGTCTAGTTTGGCCTCGAGCCCAACCAGCAATCTCCTACACAGACGTGAACAGAAGAATGATTTGTATTGCGTAGAGCTAATAATTTGTTACTGTCAGCTAGCTGTCAGGTAATCAAGATTTAATGCCGTGACACCACAGGAGAAGATTTTAGGAATGCTCCTGACCTTTGACAAGACTTATACTGCATGGAGATAAATGGATGGGCTCTGTTCATCTCGGAGAGATAATTTTGTGCAACATAGAATGCGCAAAAACTGTGACAGTGAAGGAATGTTCCTGTACACATGAATTATTGCAGTGCAGCCTGATAACAAAAAAAAAAAAAAACACATAAAAGTGCAACACGACTTCAAACCAATAGTTAACCCCAAAATGAAAATTTGCTCACCTTCAGGCCATCGAAGATGTAGATGAGTTTGATTCTTCATAGGAACAGATTTGGAAAAAATTAGAACTACATCACTTGCTCACCACTAGATCCTCTGCAGTAAATTGTTCAGTTAATGTCTTGTGAAGTCAAAAGCTGCGTGTTTTTTAGGAAAGATCCATCATTACAGCTTTTTAACTTTAAACTGTTTTTAGCTAAAACGTGAGTCCATAATCCATAACAATGTTTCCTCCAGTGAAAGAAAGAATGAAACATTAAGATGAAATTGAAGTGCAGACTTCAAGCTTTAATTCAAGGGGTTGAACAAAAATATAACAAAATGCTTAGGAATTACAACCATTTTCATACACAGTCCTCCCATTTTCAGGGGCTCACGTGTAGTTGGACGGATAAATATAATCATAAAATGTTTATTTTTTGTATATTTTGTTGAGAATCCTTTGCAGGCAATGACTGCCTTAAGTCAGGAACTCATGGATGTCACCAAAGACTGGGTTTCCTCCTTTGTGATGCTTTTCCAGGTCTTTACTGCAGCAGACTTCAATTGTTAAACTGTTTTTAGCTACAATGTGAGTCCATAATCTATAACAATGCTTCCTCCAGTAAAAGAAAGATCCTCTAAGCATATTTCTCTCCTAATTCAAGCAATGGTATAGATAGTGGACTCGTATTTCAGCTGGAATCAATGGTTTGACATTAAAATGCCTTATTGAGTAACCATTTTTATACACAGTCCCCTCATTTTCAGGGGCTCAAATGTAATTGGACAAATAAATATAATCATAAATATATGAAACAGCTTTTGAGTCAATTGTCCAATTACTTATGGTCCCTTGAAAAAGGGGGGAGGTACATATTAAAGAGCTGTAATTCCTTAACCCTTCCTCCAATTTTGATGAGAATACCCTTAAATTAAAGCTCAGAGTGTACAACTGTAACTTGAATTTGTTTTGGTCAACAGCTAAAATAATAAAAAATTGTGCCTGTGTCCAAATATATATTGACTAACTGTGTATATATAAACAGCTTTTCACAGTCGTGTGGGTTACCTGTGGATTATTGTGATGTTTTCATCAGCTGTTTGAACGCTCATTCTGACGGCACCCATTCACTGCAGAGGACCCATTGGGTGAGTAATGTGATGTAATGCTAAATTTCTCCAAATCTGTTCTGATAAAGAAACATACTCATCTTGGATGACCTGATGGGTGAGCTCATTTAAAATTTTGGGTGAGCTATATTTGTGAGAGTATCTTATACATGTGCAATGTTATTACCATTATGACTTGACCATGTTTGCAGAATCCTCCTTCTGAAGCAAGATTTTTCAGCATTGAAAACCAACATACAGACTTTGGCAGTTGTTCCACATCATTTGCTTGGGTACAAGTGAGAATGATGGATCGCTGACTCCTTGTGAAGGTAACTTTATATAATACCCGGACTATTTTTATCTTCACTATTTGATGCAACCAAGGTTAAACCAGAGTAGTGCATTAAAATCATATAGAACAGAAACGAGTCTATGAAGCAAAGAAATAGTCCATTCACATATCAGGTTGAGGCTCTAAAGCAGTGGGTATGTGTAAAAACTGAAAATGCAAGCCGTGCTTCAGTGATCTTTAATTACTCAGTTCATGCCATTTGTCCCACAGCATTAGTGTGATTTTATAGCAGAAACTATCAGCTCTCTGATCATGATGCTGTCTGGACACAGTCCAGGAAATGGAGAATGAAGAGGAATCTAGTTGGCTATGGTTGACAGGGACGGTGCTTATTACAACGTCACAGCTGACATAATTCTGTGATTTACATCATAAAAGAATGTCCTCTGCAATTACAGAGGTGTTAATAAAAGCACTTGACCTAACAGGGCACAGTAGACTGTATTTAAAAGCCTGTATTTAGATGAAAAGCTATTAGCAAACAGTTTTGCTATTGTAATGTTACATATTTCTGAGTGAATGGACTACTTTTATGATGCTTTGGGTCTTTTTAGAAAGACTCTGCTAAACTTTGATTCACCACCAAATGCATATAATATATATATATATATTTTTTTTTTTTGGGATAATGAAACCGCTTTTAGACTGTTTGCAAACACAGCAATGAATTCTAAAAGCAGAGATCTTTAAGAATGGTTTTAGTATTAGGCTTTTATATGCATGCACTCTACTTGTTTGGCCGTTTTTAAGCCCAAATACTGATATTGTGATTTCGATGCAGTGCCCGCAGGCTGGGTTTATTGAAAGATGTGCTGTTGCAGGTATACGGCTTATTGATCCAATTTTTGGATATTTTTGTTTTCCTCTTCTCATCAGTTTGATTGGGTTACTTAAAACATCCTGTGGATGTCAAAACATGTTTACTGACTTAGAACTATATTGCTCTTATGTTAATGAATCTGTGTTTGCTGCTTTCGTGAGCAGGCAACAGATTGTTTTTGTTTATTTCATTTATTCGTTCTCTGAAAAGACCTTCAAAAGACAAACAATTCCAAAGACATAAGAGCCGGACAGGCTTTTTTTGAATTTCCATTAACTGAATCCCAAAGTACACTGCTATAAAGCCTTATTCCTCCTTGATCAAATATTTTACTGATATCATGCCAGTGAATTATATTTACTTGTTTACACTCCCCATGCCATTACAATAATCAAGCAGAATTGAATTTTATTTACATTTCTCAAATGCTCTTGCCATCTCACTAGATGGAACCCAGAGTGTTTTTTTAGCTGAGACAGATCCCATATGGATGCACATATTGATGAGTCTACTACACCTTGTATATTGAAAAATGCCTCCCGAAGTGTTTCTATGAAGCATTAAAGCTTGATGCAGGCTCCTGGTCTTATTGTGCATAATTGTATCTGTGTATGTTATTTTGAAGGAAAAGGGTTATCTTAATGTTTTGTGAAAATGTAATTAATTGCTCAGCAAAAAATCCATCACCTAGGCCACATGAGCAGGAAAAATTATGTAAACTGAAGGTTTGTTGTCAGCTTGTTGTTTTGAACATGTAGTTTATTTTTATTTATATATATATATATATATATATTTTTTTTTTTTTAAATAAAAAAAAAAAAATACAGTGAAAACAGTAATAATTTTAAAATATGATTACAATTTAAAATAACTGTTTTCTATTTAAAGGTTACATATCATGAAAATCTGACTTTTCCAGGTTTTAAGTGCTATAATCAGGTCCCCGGTGCATCTACCAACCAAGTACAAGCTGTAATGGCCAGCTCTATTCTGAAAAAGGGGGCGGGGAGCAGCAGCTCATTTGCATTTAAAGAGACAGGCCCGAAAAACAGCGTGTTTCTGCTTCCACTCAAAATAGGCATTTTCAAAATGATATAATAAATTATTATAAGTATTTTAAGCTGAAATTTCACAGACACATTCTGGGGACACCAGAGACTTATATTACATAAAAGGCATAATATGTCTCCTTTAGAAAAAAAAGTAATATGGAATTTATTACTTTGATGGAATTACATTGCTCCAGTCTTCAGTGTCACATGATTCTTCAGTTGTTATTCTGCTAATTTGATGTTCAAGAAACATTTCATGATACACCATTTGGGTATTTAAAAAAAAAAAAAAGATTTAATTAATATTTTTATCCAGCAAGGATGCATTAAATTGATCAAAAGTAACAGTAAAGACTTTCTATTCATCAAAGAATCCTGAAAAATATGTATCACTTTTTTTTTCAAATTATAATAATGAAGCCATTATTTCAGTAATAATTGAGCAACAAATCAGCATATTAGAATGATTTCTGAAGGTTCATGTGACACTGAAGACATTAAGAAATTCTGCTTTGCCATCACAGGAATTAATTCACTTTTAAAATATATTCAAAGTTTCAAGCCAAAAATAGTTATTTTAAAATGTAATATTATTCCACAATATTAATGTTTTTAATATATTATTTTGTTGTTTTGGACTGAACAGACATTATAAGTTTAAGGTTTTGGAAGGTGGAGTAACATAGGGGTTAAAAGTCTGGAGCGGTAACTAAAGATACAGAGATTCAACCCCACAGGGAGCAATCTATGAGCTATAACCATTGAGCCTTTGGGCAAGACACTTAACCCCAGATTGCTCCAGAGGGACTGTCGCTATAATAAATGTACTGTAAGTCACGCTTGATAAAATTATGAACTTGAGTTTTTCTCCAAGACCATTTATTGGTCATTTGTTGTCAAATGGCATGGTGACCGATCCTTTGCTGTTAGAAAAACCAGTTTTTGTGTGTGAGAGTGAAATGAAGCAGGCCTTCATAACGACTCTCTATTTTAAGGCGAGTAGAATTTGCCACCTGTCTCTGCTTCTCTGGATGCCTTGACAGCTCGTTTCCCCCTATCATAATAGTCCACAGACAGTCTCGTCCCTGTGTTATTCACAAAAATTCAGTACTGTATTCGAGGTTCAGTTTGTTTGCAGGGCAGCGATTCCTGTCATTGGTGGGGTCTTGGTGTCTCCTTCCTTTTTCTGTTCATAAAACTACAGGATTAAAGGATTCGACGGCAGTTTGGATCTTGTGTCATGGCAGAAGCAGGGAGCCAACAGAACCAATGGGAGGAAGGTTTTGAGGATGAATTCGGAGAAATTATCAAAACTCGATCAGGTAGGAGAAATTATGATTTACTTAAGTTATTTGGAATCCTTACATGTTGTACATGAATTTCAATATGTTCATTAAGTGTTAAAATAGTATGCCTTAGTTATTTTTTAACGTAAACATAATTCAGCTTAATCATATAAGCAGCACTCCTAGCCATATTCAAAGTAATATAAAAACTCTAATCGAATTTTACAGCAACATATGTGTTAGTGAATTTATATTTACTGCATCATATTTTCATGTTTTATTGTGTGTCTGTTCATTTTGTTACTCAAATCAGACTTTTACTATTACATTTTGAACAATCCAACTTGAAAACGAATTTCTGGCCTATGCGCCACCCTGAATGAGTTCACATCTATTTTTTTTTTCATCACTGTCATGCTGTATTCAGTAGGGATCATGAGTGATCTATAAATGCTCTCTGGTGGAAATAGGACAGGTCTTAAAGAGCTTGAAATAGTTGCAGCTGCCTGGTGTTGGGTTTCAGAGTTCCTTGTTGGAGATTTAGCCATGTTGTTCGCTGTGTGTTGTTTTGCTGGCAGAAGACCCTTTCTCTTGTGTTTTCTGTGCGAGTGTGTTTATGATCAGCAGTGAAATTTAGGAGAAAGTAGGCAAATGAGTCAACAGTCTGATGAGCAGCCACAGGACACAAACAGTACAGTAAACCTCTGAGAACAGAGCTTTAATAGAGGACATCTGTTATCTGTCCTAAATCGCGATATACACTGGTAATTTAATGGCTTTTGGGTTTAGCAAAAAAAATCTTTTATCAAAAACCAATTTTCACTTTCGTTCATGGGTTGGCTGTATGGTTCTTTGGAAACTGAAAGTCTTTTTTTGTTACATTTTTGGTTCTTCTGATGGCTTCTTCAAAATGTATGATTTCTCTAAAGCACCAGTATATAAATGGTTTTCTAGACAGTAGAAGGGTGAATTTCACAAAAGCTGTAATATCTGACTCATAGTACTTCACCCCAAAATTAAAAGACATAAATAAGATAGATACTATATTTTGTATGATGAAAAATTACTATTTATTTATTTATGCATGCATGTGATAAAGAGAAATTTGGGGATAAATATTCTTTAATATACAATCTCAGACAGAAATATGCTTAGAAGATTTTTTTTTATGTTTGTAAGTATTTTTTTTATTAATTATCTTCATGAAAATAATGTCAATGCAAAAATGTGTATATCATTTGCTTTTTATACCTAAAATACAGTTATTTATTCACTTATTATTAATAATATTATTATTATTAGCCTTCTGATTTTTGGGGGAAATTACCTGAATGTTGTTTTTTTGTTTCATTCACCCAAAAGAAATTTTTTGTGGAACTTGAAGTTATTCCTGGCTCTAAAGTCCTGTTTGTATCACATATTTATTTATTTTGTTTACGTTAATATCTTATTTTAAATGCGTTACTGAACCCTTCTGAGGCTCCTGGTATTCAGTGGCATTTTTACAGTTGGACGAGACAGTTTGACTCCTGGGACAATTTGAGGTTGCAACTCTATCTTCTGCTTATAGTATCCATTCTGTTTTTGTGGTAAATACCACTGCATGAGGCCTGCAGGAGTGACTGACATGTTGACATCTGCTATAGAATCTTCTGACTTTAAGAAATTCTCGAAATAACTACGCTTTCTGCTTCACATACTCCAGAGAACACATTTTATCAAAGAGTATAAAATATTTTATGCCAGCTGTCAAAATGTTAATATTTAAGCCTTTTAAATAATAAAATATTACTGGGAAATTATAATAATAAAAAGCTTGTTTTTATCTTGTGGGGAGAGGGGCAGGGTTTGTTGTCAGACTTTTTTGCTTGGGCCTTTCCCAGGGACAGTCAATAGTACTGGTGTTTCTATTTTTGGCTTTAATGGGAATATATATACTGTAGAAGATATAATGCTGTATGAGCAGCCACTGTAAGGCAGTATTGAGCAAGTTCTGCTGAAAACATCATTCAGATCTCTTGAACATCTCTCTTAGCAAACTCAGTCACTGGAGACCTCTGATCATTTTTTCATTACATAACCAGAGAAGCATACACTGAAAAAAAGATGCCTCAAGTATTGTATTCTCAAGAAATGTCTACATTTTAAATGCTGCAAAAGTGTTTTACTTTATGATGGGATTACTGAGAAACTGTTTGCAATTAAATCTATGAATAAATGACTTTTTCTAATTTTGATCGATACTTGAGGATTATATATACCAAACAAGTATTATTTTTTGAGTTACAAGTTTGACTGCCACTATGGGTGGCATTCTGAGGAATCCCCAAGGGTGTCTCCAGTATCTTCTCATTTTACAATGTGGAGTGAACAGATATAAATGCTGAAGTTTTGAACTAAAATACTTTTTGAAGTTTAGGTGTTTACTGCTCTCTATCAGGGTGTGTTTTAAAGCCCTGGAGGCTTTTGTGACATTTGCCGTTCACTCTTTACTTCAGTTATTCATCAAATAAGCAGTGGTTGGCATCAGGGGTGAAGAAAAATGATATTGAAATGAGATCTCCACCCCTGGTTGACATTTTAAAAATTCAAATAACAACTAGTAGCCTACATTAAATGTAAATACTGCACATATATGGTCTCTGAATGAGAAGCATAGCAGACATGTTTTGATGTGTGAATAAATGTTTAACAGATCTTTTCAATATTGAATGACGGTATGATGAAAAGTCTATCTTTTTAAAGACAGCAAACCTGTATTTTGAATGTTATATTTGTCCTCATCTGATTCAAGTTTGCTGCAACTTCTATCTGCTTCTGTTTACCTCAATAGCAAGTAAAAATTTGGCAGAGCAATATACAGTGCAAACTTATTACATTAGGAAAAAGAAACTACCAGTGTTGGGGAAAGTTACTTTTAAAAGTAATGCATTACAATATTGCGTCTACTAATGAGATAATAATATATTTTCTGGAGCAAATATGATTATGCCCTTCCAAGAGACATAAAAAAATAATTCTCTCCATTGGGCAGTGGGATCATTTCAGTTTTTTTTATTTTTTAATCTCACAAGAATGGATTACAAGCACAGACTGTTATTTATTTAGGATTTCTCTGGCAGATGTACAAGATATAATGTAGAAGGTGACATTGGCATCATGGCATGGTGATGTTCTGAGTCTCATGATTTTATGTGAGATGTGCCACCAACTGCACAAAAACATGAAATGGCCCATTTCAGACCACTGTATGGAATTCATCCATTTTTAATAGACCCCAGGCATATGAGATGAGAACGAACACTAGTAAACGGTGTCTCTTTTAACAGTGCAGTTTATTTTCTAAATGTCCAGCTTGTAATTAAAGGCTACCGAAAATAATTTCATACTAGTTACGCATTATACAGTGTGGTAATTGGGTACAATGACTTTCACGGTTCTTTTTCAAGGATTTAAAAGAAGAAAATTTGAGCGAGCTATCATTTGAGGTTCGTCCTCAGCAAACAAAATTATGTTTTGGCGCCCTACAAGCTAACCGTCAACTATCTTTCCTTAAAGACTTTTGAAACAAACTCCTAATGTTTGGAGGTATATTTGTGATACTTAGAACAGGCTACATAAATATGATAAATAATGACCGTGTTTTATGTTGATGTTATGCGTTCTCTGCGCGTTCCAAACCAAAAGTGACGGAACGCCGTACTGTTGCTACGGTTACCGCGATTTCTGTTCGTGAGCGTCTATTAACCGAATTTGTGCGCTGACTAACTTGTAATTCAACTTTCCTGTTTACTGAAATGTAAGGAACTCAAACTGAAACGTATTCATTATTATCGGCACCCTGCTCACGTAAGTAATTAGCCTACATTCTAGCACAAACAAGTTTAATAAAGTTGTTCATTGCATCCTTGTGATATCGATCCCTCTCGGGTGGCTACTATCGTTCCCCTTTAGATAGAGCTGTAATCAATCAGCCCGCATGCCAGAACACCGTTACACCTGCCGGTATCAGCGGATCACAGCAGAGCTATAGCTGCACCCAAGTGAGGGAGTACGAGAAAATAAAGCGGCAAAAGTGTCCTCCCACAGTTCCTTCACCAAACCATCTTCGGCTTTAGGCATGGACGAGTCTGTTTAACAGCAAGGAAACCGGATAATCAAACTGCGCTCGCTGTTTTTATATACACAGGTAACGGACACACACCACAAACGCGGCTGCCTGCGACTCCAAAACCCGTTACGGAGGAAATAGTTGCGTTTGTTATGGTGTAAAATGCTCATTTAGGTAAGATTGAATCATCATGCTGAAATACTCTTCCAGTGTGAGGTGATTGTTCGGCTGTTGACGGCGTTTATTACGGCGTGCCACGTAAGATTTAACCATATTTAACAATAGATCCTCCAGCCGGGTGCGTTTTGTCTATAACGGGATCTGCTCTCGGAAAATGTTTTATTGTTAATTACGCGTGTACGGGTGTCTTCCGTTGTTGTTTCTCGTACGCGTTACTGGTTGATGGCTAAATGTGCGCACTTTGTAATCAGTCGTGATTTTATATACGAATGCGAGAGAAAGTTTGGTGGTAGTCGCTGCTGTATAAACTACACGCAGGTCAATCACGCGCTGTTGTCATAGACACGGAGTATTTCTAGGCTCATCGAAACATTTGGGTTTGCGCTTGTAAATTGAGAGGTGGCTGTGGTGGAAACATATGGCTGTAATCTGTGAATACCGTTTTGCCTCGGATGTGTGTGCTGAGATTAGGCGGCTAAAAGCAGGTGTGTGCGTCCAGCGTCTTTGTATTTGCCCGTTAGCTTCGGCTCAAGCCCGTCACCCCATCATCCTATTTGGACAAGGGCGGATATAATCCAGCAGCAGCTGCCACCTGCCTGGAATCACGCCTCCGATCAATGGCAAGCAATGCTTTCATTCTCCTGTCTGTCTGCACACATTATTCTGTCTGCCAGACCGGGCTCTATAGATTCATTTATTTATTTTATACTTTATTATTCCTTCTAGTCCCAGTCTTCCAATCACTCCCATATAGGCTACACAGCCATTTGATGCTATTTTTGTCTCTCAACATCTATAGATAAATTAAAAGCTGTATTATACTGTAACTGATAAATAAATAAAAAATATACATACATGCATTTATAGGCTACATTATTATGGTCTCATAATTTCATTAAATGATCTGCATTGCACACTCTAAAAAATGCTGGGTTGTTTCAACCCAACTTTGGGTCAAATATGGACTAACCCAACTTTTGGGTTAAACATTTAATGTAAAAATTTAACCCAACGGTTGGGTTAGTCCATGTTTGACCCAATGTTGGGTTGAAACAACCCAGCATTTTTTAGAGTGCAAGATCAGTGCTTGTAGATTGTAGAGTCCTTGGGACCTTTAACTGTTTAGGGCTTTTCACACTTGAAATGGTTAACCTTGGGTCAAATCCCGAGTAAAGGAATCCTGGGTTATCTTGTTTCACGTTTCACTTCCCATAATTTACCTGGGATTTACAGTTAATCCTGGGTTTTCATAAACTGATTTACACATTGTCAGTGTTGGGGAGTAACTACTAGTTACATGTAACATAATTTATTTACAAAATATGTAACTGTAATCTGTTACAGTTACTGAGAAAACACATGTTATTAAATTACAGTTACTTATGAAAATGTTAACGATTACAAAGGGGGTTACATCTGAATATTTTCACACAGAGATTTAATTGAATTCTTTCCCAAATTATGCAGCACGTGACCCGTTTAAAGGCTCTAGCATTGTGCATCCTCATTATATATTAGCCTGTTTTTTCCTGAATGGTCTTATAAATTATAAAGGTAAGAATGAAACGGTCTCTTTTTCACAAGTTTCATCACCATTTGACATTTTCATTAAGCATGTGAATATGAGACACACGATAGGGTGTCTTGCTAAGCATCAAGTCAGCTAACAGGAAACATTCTCAGAACTTTATAACGTTCTGGCAAGGCTCATTAAAAGTAATGAACAAACATTCTTCCAGCAGCATTAACAAAATGTTTGTTCTATGTCATCTGGTCTCTCTCTCTCTCTCTCTCTCTCTCTCTCTCTCTCTCTCTCTCTCTCTCTCTCTCTCTCTCTCTCTCTCTCTCTCTCTCTCTCTCTCTCTCTCTCTCTCTCTCTCTCTCTCTCTCTCTCTCTCTCTCTCTCTCTCTCTCTCAAATGTATGAGTTTTATTAACTTTTGTTTTGTTTTGAATAATGCTTAACCCATTTGGGTTCTTTTTATTAAAACACACTTGCTATTATCACCTACAGAGCCAAGGCTAAATTCCTTTTCATTGCAGAACATTTATTATCAGGGTGTTTCAGAAATGATAATTGTCACAACCGGGCAAAAACAACTATTATGGGCTGTTGATTACAATTGCATATTGTGACAGGAGGACGTCACGCAAGGAGTTTAACACCTCTGCTTTTGCAAAACATCGACCTTCAGCTTTGTTGATAGATCTTTGTTCACACCCTTTTGCATGAATCTGTAATGCATTGAGAGCACTCTGCGAAAGATGTTATGTCAGGTAGCCTACAATGTGTTTAATTTGGTCCCATCTAAGTGAACTTAAAAATTCTGTCATCATTTACTCACCCTCAAGTCTTTTGAAACCCATTTCTTTCTTCTCTGGAACACAAAAGGAGTTATTTATAGCAGAATGTCCTTCTGCTCTCTTCCATATGAAAGTAAACGTTGGCCACAGCTGTTTCTAACACAAAGTTATCGTATGGCTTCAGAAGACTTGAAATATAGCATGCATGTCATATGGACTACTTTTATGATAGTTTTATGGTGATAATTTTTGGTGCTTGACAGCACCTGATCACCATTCACTTTCAAAGTATGGAAGAAAACAGCTCTGACGTTTTGCTTTAGTGTTTGGAAGTGTTTTGTGCACTTTTGGAAGGTTTAGTACATAATGACAGAATTTTAATTTTGGGGTGTTTTCACTTTTATGGTGCAGATTAGTTTTTGTTTATAGCAAATGAGCAATCCGACCAACTAGAATTACAGCATATTAATGTGGTAATGAATTATGTCTTAAAGTTTAGGCATTCGAATTTTCAGTTTGTGAAGGGACACTGCGGGATACCGTCTACCCTGTTGTGTTTCCAAACCTGAAGAAGGCAGAAATATAATTTCCCTGTCAAATCCTGAGCTTTTAAAAGCAGCTAATTTAGAGCTTTGTAGATCAATATCAGTAATACTGTAAGATAATGTGAAGGTTCCCTTTGCAGCAAAAGACTTAAGTAATCAGCTTTTCCTTTTTGCATAGCTGCTGTATTCTGCACATTTTGTCAAGGGGGTTGAGAGTCTAATTGAAGCGGATTGTGGTAATCAAGTAAAGGAATGACTTTTGGCATTATGGAACATTAAGAGATATCTGATTTGCTCCAGAAATTATTGATCCACGATAAGAATAGTTCATAATTGGTGCTTTTTGCGGTGTTGAGATGCCTTTACAAGTCACCATTCTCTACAGTAAAGAACTCAAATGAACCTCGGACATGATAAATGGAAATGGAAATGGCTTTCAGGAACCAAAAATGTGATCTGCATGGGATAGCAGAAACTATTGACCTTTTTATCTACCAATTTGGACTTTTTCTACTAATTCTGATAATTGTGAATTTTTCAGTGCTGTTTACTCTTCTGTCATATTATTACAGCAAAACTGTGTGAGAGTGTGTGTTATTGCGATTATAAGCATGACATGGTGCAGTCAGGCTTGAAACAAATCTGAGCCATGCTACTGTGATTATGCAGTCAGCTGAAGTGTAGGCTGACCAATGGGAACAATGAACTGAAACTACCCATTTCATGATGATTATTGCGATGGTGGCAAAAACAACTGGAAGCTTAAAATCAATTATGCATGAAAATGCTGTCATCCACGCTGACTCTGGAAAGCTTGTGATTCACCACCCAGTGCTTTTTGTGTACAAGGAAATATCAAAGCAATGCTTACTCTTGCTTAACGATTCCATGGGTGTTCTGAAAGGTTTTAAAGAGATAGTTGCCCAAACATGACACTGCTGCCAAATCAGCATGACTTGTTTTCTTGCGAGGAGCACAAAAGGAGATATTTTGCAGAACGTCCAAGCTGCTCTTTTCCAGTGAAAAAGGATGGAGAGCAAGGACCACCTTTGCTAGATAACTCCTTTTGTGCTCCATGCGAAGATGAGAAGAGATGACAGAGTTTTCATTATAGGCGTGAACTCTCGCTTTAATATCATCAGGGCCCCTAGATAAGAATTACGCTTTTGCAATCAATCTCAAACTCAAGCAAGCCGAGAGGGTAGCGCACAGAGATCCGAATCCAAGCAATTGGAGAATATTAGAGCGGGGAACAACACAAGCTTTTAATGTGATATGAAAGCTAAATGTTCTTTGTACTGATTGATTTTTAATGTTCCCAACACCCGCCATTTCTTTCACTCTCTTTACGAATACAAGAGTGGCTTTCTGGCATTTTATCAACAGTAGTCTTTATTGGCGGCTCTGATTGAGGCAACCAAAAAGAGGACTTTTACAAACAAATGTTCCTGGATTCTTGATCTTACAATTGCTTGTTTGCAATTTAGTATCCTGTGCTTTAGAAATGAATAGGAATAATAGAGAAATTTCTAAGCAGGTTCTTTGGCTTTTCTGATCAATTTTTCACCCCACTCAGCCATTGTGTTTGTAAAGCTTGCCTGATGTACACCCTCGGTCTCTCAGAAGTAATCTTCTTTTGAATGCCAGCTGACCATTGATCTGTATATACCCTGTAACCATTCTCGGGTCTTTCAGGGGCTTTTTGCTCATAGTCTCTTTGTATTTAACCTTCCTCATATCAACTGCCACAACAGTGAATACGTCCCATTGATCACGGTGGACTTTATTCTTATTTGCCAGTAGCTACTTTAATCACTTATAGTTTTTTTTGATGATATATGCTGTTATGTAGCTGTAAAGCTTTACATTTCTTAAGGTATTAAATGACTACGATTTGTTTGATATTAGGTTTCTTTGTTTGAAATTACATTTTAATAGTTGAACCTTAACTGGACTGTATTGACAGTGTTCTCTCTCATTTTCAGATGAAAGAGAAGATGTTCAAAAGAAAACCTTCACGAAATGGATAAACTCACAGTTTGCTAAGGTAATGTGACTTGAGTATTTTTTTTTTTTAATAGTGTGTTGAGGTAACACTGAATCACCCAAAAATGAAAAGTCTGCCATCATTTACTCGCCCTCAAGTTGTTCCAAACCTTCCAAAGATATTTTGAAGAAAGTTGATAACCAAACATGATGACAGAATTGTCATTTTTGGGTGAACTATCCTTTTAATGTCAGATAAAAAATGTTTAATCATGCAAAATCTGTTTTGATGAACTAATTAAGACAATCTTTAAACTGTGATTTTCTGAGAAATCTTCATGGATTTCTGTTGTTGCATCCTGGAATTGCATGTTATAGGTATACAAACTGAAATGTTGCTATTCATCCACCTACTACATGGTGGGCGGATGAGGAGATGTAAGGTAGACAGGCTTGATATCAAGGTTAAAAGTTAAGATTCACGCTTGCACATGGTCTTGATCTTGAGGTTAAAAGTTAAGATTGACACTCGCACACATTCTTGTCACTAACCTTTATCTATGTCAGGATGTGAGTGTGAATTTGAAATATGAATGTTTGCTTTAGATTTGTTAGTCTGACGTTTTGCGCTTCTAGGTAAGGTGTTTCAAAACAGAGGTTTCTGCGTTCTCTTTGTAACTCTGTTAGCGTCCTTTTACAGTGTGTTAACAGAGGAAGGACATCAGTTCTTTGTCCTTCAAACTGAGAGAGAAGTGGTTGCTTCAAGGCAGAGCTGTGGGGAAAAAGTTATTTGTAGTTTCAAAGAACTTCACAGTACAATGCTGTGTATGAAGAACTGAATAAAGACCTGCAGCCTTTATAAGTTCTGTTTATTCTCCAGACAAGAAGACCCCCTATCGATGACCTCTTCACTGATCTGTGTGATGGCCGACGTCTTCTTGAACTCCTGGAGGGTCTGGTTGGCCATGAAATAGTAGGTCCATCTTTAAATTTGAAATATGCTTATTACCCGAGTTCGCTTCTCTCTCTACTCCCAGTACTTTCCTGTCGTCTCTCTACTGTCTTATCACAATAAAAGGCATACAAAGCCCTTAAAATAACTTAAAAAAAAAGAAATATGCATATTACAAAATAAGCCATTAAAGGAATAGTTCACCCCAAAATGACACTTTTCATCATCATTTACTAATGAATACAAAAGTAAAATTTGAGGATAGTCATGGTAGTACGCTTTTCAATACAGTTACAATGAACGCTGAATAAGGATTTCATAATGGATTAAAAAAAAGCATTAGAAAAATATCAAAAATTGGTAAAGGCATCTCATGCAATATATTCCAAATCTTCTGATGTCAAACGATAGTTTTAAAAAAGAAACAGTCCAAAATGTACGCACATGTACATAAATTGGCTGTTAATTTAACCCCAAAATGGTGTATGTATTTCACTTTGGTCTATTTCACAAACCAAAATGTATTTTATTTTATTGCTGAATGAAAATTTAACATTTGCACTCCTGTAATATTCCTTGGCATGTTCACGAGAGAAAAAGTGATGTTACTCTTAAGTTGGCTCTTTTAAAACCAAACTGCCTTTTTTTCTATTTTTACTATCTTATTTTAAGTTTATTGTCACTAACCTTTATCTATGTCAGGATGTGAGTGTGAATGTGTGAATTTGAATGTTTGCTTTAGATTTGTTAGTCTGACGTTTTGCACTTCTAGGTAAGGTGTTTCAAAACAGAGGTTTCTGCGTTCTCTTTGTAACTCTGTTAGCGTCCTTTTACAGTGTGTTAACAGAGGAAGGACATCAGTTCTTTGTCCTTCAAACTGAGAGAGAAGTGGTTGCTTCAAGGCAGAGCTGTGGGGAAAAAGTTATTTGTAGTTTCAAAGAACTTCACAGTACAATGCTGTGTATGAAGAACTGAATAAAGACCTGCAGCCTTTATAAGTTCTGTTTATTCTCCAGACAAGAAGACCCCCTATCGATGACCTCTTCACTGATCTGTGTGATGGCCGACGTCTTCTTGAACTCCTGGAGGGTCTGGTTGGCCATGAAATAGTAGGTCCATCTTTAAATTTGAAATATGCTTATTACCCGAGTTCGCTTCTCTCTCTACTCCCAGTACTTTCCTGTCGTCTCTCTACTGTCTTATCACAATAAAAGGCATACAAAGCCCTTAAAATAACTTAAAAAAAAAAGAAATATGCATATTACAAAATAAGCCATTAAAGGAATAGTTCACCCCAAAATGACACTTTTCATCATCATTTACTAATGAATACAAAAGTAAAATTTGAGGATAGTCATGGTAGTACGCTTTTCAATACAGTTACAATGAACGCTGAATAAGGATTTCATAATGGATTAAAAAAAAGCATTAGAAAAATATCAAAAATTGGTAAAGGCATCTCATGCAATATATTCCAAATCTTCTGATGTCAAACGATAGTTTTAAAAAAGAAACAGTCCAAAATGTACGCACATGTACATAAATTGGCTGTTAATTTAACCCCAATAAATTAACAGCCAATTTTTGCGCATGTATGTGTTATGTACTGTTACCATAATAATGGCTAATCATTTTTGGGTGAACTATCCCTTTAATTGGCTCTGAGGGGTGATATTCTGAGATGCTTTTCATTGTTCTATTTTTATCAAGGAAAAAATACTCCTGGTTTCAAAGTGTTTGGACAAGGCTGAGTGCATAAATGGTTGAATTCATTTGCAATGGATGCTCAGAGTTCAGTTCTGATACAGTATATTCTTCATTTGCAGGTTAAAGAACGTGGTTTCACTCGAGTGCACTCCCTCAACAATGTTAACAGGGCCCTGCAGATCCTTCAGAAGAAAAAGAAATATGCATATTACAAAATAAGCCATTAAAGGAATAGTTCACCCCAAAATGACACTTTTCATCATCATTTACTAATGAATACAAAAGTAAAATTTGAGGATAGTCATGGTAGTACGCTTTTCAATACAGTTACAATGAACGCTGAATAAGGATTTCATAATGGATTAAAAAAAAGCATTAGAAAAATATCAAAAATTGGTAAAGGCATCTCATGCAATATATTCCAAATCTTCTGATGTCAAACGATAGTTTTAAAAAAGAAACAGTCCAAAATGTACGCACATGTACATAAATTGGCTGTTAATTTAACCCCAAAATGGTGTATGTATTTCACTTTGGTCTATTTCACAAACCAAAATGTATTTTATTTTATTGCTGAATGAAAATTTAACATTTGCACTCCTGTAATATTCCTTGGCATGTTCACGAGAGAAAAAGTGATGTTACTCTTAAGTTGGCTCTTTTAAAACCAAACTGCCTTTTTTTCTATTTTTACTATCTTATTTTAAGTTTAAGATTATTATTTTAAGCCATTATTTAAAGTTTATATATATATGTATATATATATATATATATATACAAATTTTTTTTTCTTCATCTTTTAATGTAGCCCATAT